TGTGACCCTCAGCCCCTAGTATCTGCCCTTGCCTGAGGAGACCAGACTTGCAACTGTGGACTCTGCTGATGAGGCAGCTCACTGGAAGCAGGTGGCAAGGCGTTTGTGGAGCCTTCTAATGTTGGATCAGGAGCACTGAATACTGCGCATGGCAAGAACTCCAGAACTCTGGGCACATGATGACCCCGGCCACCCCACACTGACAGGACCATAGCCAGAAGCCTTCAAGCGGGCAAGGCCAGGGCCCTGCAGTGACTCTGGCCCCATACATACCTGCTGAGGGCCTCATGGTGTCAGGAGACGTTGCTGTCTGCTCTGGCCACCCCCTTTCTTTGCGTGTTTCTGAAACAGGACTTACAAATGTGATTTTGGGGCCAGGGATGTAGCTCAGTGGTTCCATCGCCTGCCTCGCAAGCACAAGGTCCCAAGTACCCAAAAACCAAACAAACAAATAAATGTGAGTATGTGTGCAGCTCAAACTTGTCTTATCAAGGACCTGTGACATTTTCTTTTGAAATGTGACTATTGGGAAGGATTAGCCTTAGTCTTTCCATCTTCTGCAGGAGGACAGAGTCCTAACTTCCGTAATTGCCACCAAGCAGGCACAGCTGGACTATATGTCAGGCACAGAATAGAAAAAATAAGACACAGAGCTAACAGGGTAGAGTGTCAGGAGACAAAGGTGCATGCTAATTTGAAAGGCAAAGTGTAATATGAAGAATAACTAATAACAAGGCAGAGGCTACTAAAATGCAGAGAAAGTATAAAATATACAAATAACATAAATCAAAATAAATCCTCCTCCAGGACTGAGGTGGTAAACTCAATGTGGCTCGGCCCTTAGATTTGCTTAGGCTGGGGCTGGTGGGCTAGAGGAGCCGTGGAACCCTCCAGAAAGCTGTCCAACAGGCTGCTGAGATCACAGAGGTGAGCACCACTGGGCATGCTCCTCACCAGCCAAATTCTGCGGGAGGAAGATGACAGCTGTGATATTAGGAGAAGCCCCTTTTTCCTGTGACTCTGCAGCGCCCTCTACTGACAGGGCCTAACCCTGAACCAGCTGCAAAGAAATGTCTAGAAACTGTCATGCTGAGGTGAAGGCCTTAAAACGCAGGAACCCCTATCCCCAGGCCCCTCCATCCCGCTCAGGGGGGCTCTTCCTGCACACTGGCTCTTTCCCTGCCCCGTATGTAGTCAGTGGGGCAGAGCCAGGCTGACCTCGCAGGAGCCCCATTGTCCAGGGACCACATGCAGGGCTCCCCAGGGAGGGTGTCCACCCTACAGCCAGTGTCTGAAGGGACCTCAGATCCCTATGGTCTGATCCGACCTTTGAACACAAAGGGCATCTGAGTCTCATTTGGACGCAAGCCACCTTAGCCGATGAGCCTCCTGCGCGGCTGACAGCACCCCAAGTGGTTCCCTCACCTGAAGGCTCCACAGAACAGGGTCCTTCCAGCCCGGCCCATCCCCCAGGTCCCCATGATGTCCCACTTGATGCACAGAGCCAAGGGGATCGACCAACTTTACTGGCAGCAGAGGCGCGGGAAAGTGTGGACGCTGGGGCCCTGGTCCCCCCCTCCACAGGTGGCAGGAGGTGACTGAGTCCGCAGCTCCTTGCTCCAAGCCTGTCTCTGCAGCTCTCCCTCTATGCACTAAGGCCCTTTGGACAACTGACAGAGCTCTGCAGGCCGAGAAAGAGAGAAAAGGGATCCGAGCGGTGTTCATGCGGTCAGCATTTAACCCAAGAAAAGAGACGCTTTAAGTACAGCCAAGGGGCTAAAACCACGGAAAAGGGAAGAGGAAATATGATTTCTTCTTTTTTCATCTCTTTGCTCGGCACAAACTCTCCAAAGAGCTCCAGGGCCTCTGGGTCATCAACTATCACACAGCCTGCAGGTTGGGTGGGGCACAAGTGGGTAAGGGAAGGCAGAGTCCCCAAGTCCTGTGAGTGTGGGCCCCATGGGAGCCCTGACTCCAGGCTGGGTGCTCACAGCTCTCCGGGGTCCTCCGTGCACTGACAGGATGCATCCCAGGATCAGAACTGTCCCTTCCCAAACCACCTGAGAAGGAGTCCAGCCAGGTTGGAGCCTTCGGGCAGAAATCGCTTTGTGTCTGGGACAGAGCATGAGCCACCAGAGCAGATAAGCCCTGCATGGGGCTGTCGGCACCCTGGGTCGCTCCCCCATCTGAAGCCCCACAGGAGAGGGGTCTCACCAGCCCAGACCACAAGAGCAGAGACACAGAGCTGCCTGTGTGTGCACATGCTGGGCTCGGGGATGCTCTGCCCCAACCCCTCCGTGAGGAACCACTCTGGGCTGACTGCCTTAAGGAGGGAGTCAGTGACCCTGCCCTGAATCACCACCGAGACCTTCTTGAGCAAGACCTCAGCACCTGCACCCACAGCCTCTCCTGTGTGATGATGCTCACATCACCCCCAAATCTTGCTCCAGGCAGCCTGCACACACAGACTCCATCCTGCACTGAGCCTGTCTGGTATGGACTCGGCCCTCCCTGGAGTCACGTGGCTCAGAGGCGTGAGGGTCACGTGAACTTCCATGTAGATGGACATGGGAAGTGACTCAGGACATCCGGGAGGGTCTGGCAGCACCGAGGACCTCTGAAGTCCACAGCCGCGATCTGTAGGTGGCAGTGGGCAGGCAGTGGAGTTTCTGTGGATGGCTCCCTACTCTAGCCCAAACCATGGGCGCCAAGCTGTGGCCGGTCCAGGTGATCTCTAGGAACTCGTGGGCCCAGGACCACCCAGTGAGCTGAGGGTCCAGGCGGCCCCCAGGTCAGCATGTGGTGGGTGGAGGTGGGGGCTAGAGAACGCCAGACCAGGGACGGAGGCACCAGTGAGGCTCCACGGTGGGAAGGACCCTTGCAGCAGAAGCCCTGAGAACTCAAAGGGCGGGGACAGCTGCAAGTCCCAGGATGGAGGTGAGACCGGCTGGCTAGTGGGGAGACAAGTTGAGGTGGAGGACTCCTCCCGGTCCCTAGGGACCTGTGGGGCAGGGTCCACTCCATGGGGTGGGAGCGTCCCGTGCACAGCAGGGTGTTGAGCAGATCCCAGCTCCACCCTTGGAAGCCTGGACCCCACTGCTCCTGTCATGACAACCACACTCGTCTCCAGACATTGCCCAATGTCCCCAGGACAGAGGTGTCCCAAACAGACCTCCCAGCCGGAGCGTGTCTACACCAGCAGCTGACTGGGGACAGAAGGGAGGACCTGCGGGCCAGTGGGGTATGAGTGGGCATGGGCTTCGGACATCAGGATTGGCGCCTGGAGAGCTGAGGCTAAGAGAGGCCCGCGGCTTGCCCAGCCCCTCCCACCACAAGCCCAGGAAACCCAGCCACGTCCCCTGACGGGAAGGGCAGGGTGTGGGCCCCCGAGGCAGTGTGCTTGATCAGCAGGAAATTCCGCAGTCCTCACCCCCACAAACTGGGAAGAGCTGGAACACACCCAGAAGCATTACAATCTGGTAGTACATGTAGTTCATGTAGCCACTGAAGTAGGCCACGCAGAAATTCTTCCCCAGCAGGACATAGATGTAGATGGTGTGTTTCCAAACTGCAGGCAACACAGTCCGTGTAAGCACCAGGTCCCTTTATGTGGCCTCTACTCCAAGAAAGAATTCCCAACCGCGTGCTTACGGGTTTGGTAGGTGCCGGGTTCGTCTCCTGCATCCAGGTGCAGCTTGCATTGAATGATCCAATGGGTCTCCTGGGGCACAGGACCCAAGCACAGCTGTGGTTCGGACACCTGCCCAGTCCTTCCCTGCTCCCACCTGAGGGGTCCCAGCCATGAGGTCAGCCCCTGCTTCCTCCAGGTGATAGTCTACAGCCACTCAGCCACCTCGGCTCTGTAGCCCGGGTCCTCAGGAGACTCGCGCTCAGTCCCTGAGGACACTGGGGCCTGCACCTGCCAACAAATTCCTGGAATGGCCTTGCGTGCTCCCTTCTATAGACGCTAAGGCCCTTCGGACAGCCGTGGCTCGTCAGGATGTGGCTCCCAGCAAGAACACATGGCTGGAAGAGATCCCACAGAACCCAAGCAGGGCTCTCTGAAGCCATTCAAGTTCCTACCTTAGTGCAGGGAGAGGGCAGGACCTTCTGGTCAGCCTCCCCACTTCCCAATACTGCAGATCAAAGGACCTGATCACTTACCTACATCTCCAGCCCTTTACATATTTTTCATTTTGAGAAGTGGTCTTTCTCATTGACCAAGCTGGCCTCAAAACTGAGATCCTGCCAAGTGTGGTGGTGCACGCCTGTCATCCCAGCACTCAGGAGGCTGAGGCAGGAGGATCACTGTGAGTTCGAGACCAGTCTGGGCTACACAGTGAGTTCCAGGTCAGTCTCAACTACATAGTGAGACCCTGTCTCAAAACACCAAAACACTGAGACCCTTCTACATTAGTTGCCCAGTTCCTGGGTTATGGACGGGCATACCTCGCTAAGCCAAAGCCACACAACTGGCCCTCTGTGGACCCACCTGCACTCTAAGCTCAGGACAGCTTTGTTTCCCGCCACCCAGGGCCATTTCCCACCGCAGAAGCCAGGACCTGCCCTGGATCTCCAGCCATTTCTCCAAACGGGTCTCCCAGAAGAAAGTCCAGGCTGGGTTCCTTTCTGACAGTATCCTGAAGGATCACGAGGCTCTGTCTACGCGTAGAAGTGAACACAGCGCCCACACCGGGCTTCGGGTAACATTGCTAGAAAGCCTGGGTCACAGAGAGCGCCTGCACAGAATGTGGCAGAGGGGCATCTCACCCTCGTGCGCCCAGCTCGGTGGCAGTGTGAGCATTGTCCCCGCAGCTACAGAGGTCGCCTGGCACAGCGCCGAGCTAAGGGGACAGGGCGCCATACTCTACAGAGATTGATGAGTGGCCTGAAGGGCCATAGGGGGATGAGGGCAGGGACTGGAGAACGCACAGCTGAGCGGGGAGGGGATGCCTGGCATGCGAGGTACTCGCCTAACACTGGTCCGAACCCCAACTTACTGCGATCATTTTCGGCCAGGATGAAGGGAGGCACTGCATAAGTCTTCGTCTCATCAGGAATAGGCATGTCCCCGGCCCAGCGTGTTGCATACCAGGTTCCTTCCCTCTGGAGGGGGGAAGCCATCCATGAGTGGGGCCATAAGGGCAGGGGAGCCAGGAAAGGGGACCCAGGCTGGAGCTGAAGGGGGAGCTGAAGCAGGATCAGGGCTCGGTTCAGAGCCTCAGGGCAGGTGAGATGAGGGCTGAGACACTGGGCTAGGGGTCCTGGTCACAGCACAGCCCCGAGCCACCATCGGCAGGGCTGGACAGGCCGGCCGGGATGGAGCCCTTCAGGGTCTTTCCTGAAGAGGAACCCTCAGTGGGCCACTGAGGAAGCGGGAACAGTTCACCCCAGGGCCAGATCAAATCTTGTCTGTGGGGGATGAGACAAGACGGGCGGCAGAAACAGTGGACAGAGTTCAGGGAGTGACAGCATGGGTGGACAGCACAACCACGGACCCCCCCTAGTGGGCCTCTGGAATACCACAACTTAGCTGCTGTGCAGGGACCAGACAGGTCTGTGACTCCTTCCCCAGCTGGTGCCCAGGTCCTCGAAGGGTGGGACTCACCAGGGTTCTCCCGGCACCAAATGGAAGTAGTTTTGCACCTGTCCACAAGTGCTGCACAGTCGCAGGGGTCTTGATCACAGTGCCCCAAGCCAGCTTCGGCCCCAGCTCTCACCTGGCTCCTGGGGTCCAAGCGCCCTTGACCTCATTTCTCTCCTGCACCCAAGACCTCAGGCCCATGGGTGAGGCCTGTGATAATTGGCCCTGGGCCCAAGTGCCAAGAGCCAGCAACTGATCAGCTCAGTGAGAGGTAGAGGAGGACTTGGGGTCACTGTGAGCAGGTCCTGAGGTAAGGATGAGTGTGCCCAGGAGCTGGACTTGTTACTAGAGCCTGGGTCCCTGGACACTGGCCTTGACCCCCAGACCTGTTAGGGACCAGGTCGGTTTAGCTTCTAGGAGGAGGACATCAAAGATAAAATGTAACCCAGTAGTTTGTCCATCAGAGGAGGGCCTGGGTTGATGCCTTGTCCCCTCCGAGGTCTGAAATCTTGCCGTGAAATGCACCAGAACTACTTCAAGTCAAAAATTCTTGGACAATCCATGGTTCTGTGGAGATGGTCGTGGATGAGCCTTTCATTTGGAAATGAAAATCCGAACGGGACCCATTTGGATGGATTTAAGAAGCTAAGAAGCTTCTCTGGAGCCCACAGAGCTGGCGACATGGCCACAGCCTGGGCGGCCTCCCCAAGCCACCACTCGGCCCTGTGCACCCTCCCAGAAGGCAGGCAGATGGTGCTCTGTCCCTTAGGGACCCATTCCTCCACTGAGAGACCCAAGGACACAACACAGGGCACCCCACCCACATCCTTTGGAGCCCTGGTCCACCACAGGCCCCTCCCCAGCCCTCCCCAGAGGGGAGGCGTCAGCAGGAGTCAGCAGAGGCCACACAGCTCCCACTGCACAGAAAAGGCTCAGTGCCACAGCCAGCAGGAGCAGCGGCATGGTCCCAGGTCAGCTCTGCGCTCCCAGCCGGCCTCCCCGCTGCCCTTTCATCGCACACCGGGTGGCTCTAGAGGACCCTGCCCTCCCTCCCCTGCGCAGTCTCCCCCATCTGCTCTGCAGGACGGTTGCCTTGCTTTGATTGGACCTGGTGAAAGGACGGAGGTGATCTGCGTAATTAGCCATCGGACTGTCCTTGGACACGCTCCGAGGAAGCATCGTCCTGGGGAGGGTGGCACCGGAGTGGGATGTGCCCGCCTCTGGGGTCTGCAGCCAGGACGGTGATGACAACAACAGCAGAAAGGCGCCCGACGATGCCCCGCAGTCCCCAGTCCCTCTCGGCTGAGCCGCTGTCAGCCCCTGTGTCCAGACCTCCCTGGCTCTCTGTGCCCTTCCCCTGGCACCCCTCAGCCTCTTCCCAGAGCTGCCCCTCCCCTCCCTCCAGGTTCCAGGAAGGCTGAGGGGAACAGGGCACTGACCGCCCGAAGACGAAGACGGCTCTCTGGTCCCGCCTCTCCTTCACCCGCCCTCGGGCTTCCTGGCTTTGTATCACAAGGCAACGGCCTCACCTTGCCCCTGTGCATGTGTGGGTGTGCACACGTATGTCGCAGTGTAACTGCACATGTGCGTGGACCTCGTGCCTGTATGTGCATGTGAGGGTGTTGCCCGTGTGTGTGCTGTATGTCTGTGTGTGCACATTTCTATGCATAACTGAAACCTTCCCTAGACGCCCCACGTAGACTCTGAGTTCAGCTGCATTTCATCCTCGGCTCCTCTCCTTTTGCAGACCGTCCCAACTCTATGTGTTCATTAGAGACCGCAGCGCCTGCCCCTCGGTTTCCCAGGTATGCAGGTGTTTGTGGGCAGGTACACCTAGGACGACCCAGGAAGCAGGTGGCAGCGGAACGATCCGCAGGGAGCAGATAGGAGACTGGGGAGACCCTGAGAGGCACAACAATGTATCCTGGACCACACACCTCTCAAAAAGAGGGGCCAGGACCTAAGCCAGCTCTATCTCCCCAAAGTTGGGGCTCTGGCTGCACCCAGATCTGTCCCAGGATGGCGGGGAGGGGTGAGCTGGTGTCACTGTGTCCAGTTGTCTATGAGGCATGCAGCCCCGGGGCCTAGGGGGAGGACTTCTGTGAGCAAGAGGCTTGGGTGCGGGACCCCAGGAGGTGACCTCCCTTCCTCCATGATGGGCCAGACAGAGCTTGGAACCCTGATGGCTGACACCACATCCCAGGGCGAGCCCCAGCCAGCTCACCTGTCTGGAGCTGCAGGCGTGAGCAGGATGCTCTCTTGTTCGCCTGACTGCTGAGGTTCAGTGGGGAGAGCGGGGTTTCAGCCATGTCTGGAGACTCTGATCGCTGTCCCAGAGGAGTCCCAGTGTGACCCAGAGCGTCCCGGGCCGGTCAGTCCTCACTCGGACCTCTCCCAGGCAGCCTCTCTCCACCCCAGTTTGTGTGTGTGAAGTTTTCTGTGCTGCAGTCACTGTGGTCTATGTCGTATGTCATTTCACTGTCCCTGCTTTTGAACGCTCCCTTTTGCTTCTCACCTCAGGGTGAAACTGAGTCAGTCTGGACCCCACTGGGTCCCTCAGGATGGGGGCCCTGCAGGAGGCAGGATTGCTGAGACAACACTGAACCACATGGTACCTGCCCTGAGGAGCTGGGACCCCTGCTTCCTCCCAACTTCCTGTGCACCAACTAAAGACTCGCCACCTCCCAGCAGGGGGGGCACCCGCTCTTCAAAAGGTGCACGCCCACCTCTAAGCTGGGGGGTGGGGGAGACACTCTTCACCTCCTGGCTGGTCCCCGAATGACGGGCCCCTCTCCCAGCCCAGTTTGCTTCTGTGGAAAGTGAGGTGCTTAGAAGGATCCTTCTTACGAGGACCAAGGAGCCTGAGCCTGGAAGTACTTGCCCAGCACTGTCTCTGCGCGGTGGGCTGCCCAGGGCCGTGGTCTCTTGTGTGAGGCTGGAGAAGCCCACAGACTCAATCCTCACCCCATTGGTAAAGGAGTTTCCGGGTTACAGCTGGGGCACCCCAACCTAGATTAGCCAGAGCAAGAAACTCCTGGTGCAGAATGAGGGGCCACAGGCCCACCGAGATGTCTCTGTAGGAGCGGGTTGAGTGCATCCATGGCCCAGTGAAGCACCTACTTTGTCCAGGGACACGTCCAGGCACTCAGGATATAACCCACGGAACTGTAGACAAATCTCCGGCTGTCCTAGGCCTGCATTCCCATCGGGGAGCCAGCTCGACCCCCTTGGCCCCCTGCACATCCCTGCAGGTGAGAATAGTGTGGGACATTAGAAGTGACATCCCCTTG